GTGTTGGATTATTGAATAAAGGGATGGGATTTTAAGGCTCTTTAATATATTCCTCCAGAAATCAGAAACTCCTCAGTAAACTGAAGGGGACCAGCACTGTTTGCGTGTGTCTGTATCAACACCTGGCCAGCACCGGATCACAACATCTTATTTATTTTTTGCCTGTATATGTAAAATGGTGCGATTAAATAATTTTAAATCTCATTTAAAAAAAATTAATTCCTGGGGAAGAAGCATACTCTCCTACACAGTGAACAGAAGTATCAAAAATGGTCTTCATGTTGTAGAACTACACTCATCATATCACACCACTGCTCAGAACTCACCTTAGCACCTTATTCCCATTTGTTTCTAATCTAAACATAGCACATAAAGGGAGCTAAATACCTTCTGGTTGCTTTATGGCTTCTAAATCGAAACTGAAATCAAAATAAATCAAAATAAGCATTTCCATCATTATCGTGGGTATTGCATGGTTTACTGATTTAGTGATTCAGCTCCGAATTATTCACCCTTTTGGATTACAGTGTGAAAATGGATCTGGGCCTTTAAATATTTTTTCAGTGGAGCTGGCACTGAACTTTGTCAACAGAGGGTGCCAGAGCGACACTGCAGGAGGAAAAGCGGTTTATTTGTCTCCTGGTTCCTGGGTGCACACTCTGCAGGTTCCTGAGCATGTGGGGGTCCTCTAGTGCCAGGCTCCTAGGACACTCAGAGCACCTCCAGCACCCAGCTTCTGCCCTGGACTACACCCAGCAGCAGGCAGCAGGCAGCATCTGCCCTGCACCCTACTGGGTATCCCCTACACCTTGCAACTTTCCAGCAGAGAGCCTGGGGGGCTCAAGACGATTCCCTGTAAACAGCTTTTCTCCACACTCCAGAGGGCACATTTCCACAAACTTCCACTGCATGGCACCATCATAGCATCCCTACTATTCAGTGAGTGTGGATCTCAGTCTGGGATGGGAGATCTCAGCTCTGTGGGTAGCAGTGGCTGGTTCTTATATCTGCCAACCCTTGTTGTACTTAGAAACTTTATATTAAATCTTCCCTGTTTACAGTACTGTGATTTCTTTCTTTTCTTTTTTAATTAATTTATTTGAGAAAGAGAGAAAGTGAGTGAGAGCAAAGGAGCAGGGGGAGGGGCAGAGGGAGAGCATCTCAAGCTGACTCGGTGCTGAGCCCAGAGCCTGATGTGGGGCTCCGTCTCAGGACCCTGAGATCATGAGCTGAGCCAAAATCAGGAGTTGGCCATCCAACTGACTGAGCCACCCCAGTGCCCTACAGTACTGTGATTTCTCCCTGATTGGACTGACAGAGCTGTGCTCCCCTAGAGGGAACACCATATTTAGCCATCATCTGCTCACACATCCTACACAGAATTAGTTTTTTAGATCCATTACAGCACTCAGCTACCTGAGAGCCATTTTGACAAAAAAGTTGATGGGCCTTGGGCAGGGAGTAGCTCTTCCCTTCTCTACTTACACAGTTTGGGGAAGTTTGGGGGGGCTTCTCCTCTTCCTCATCTCGGGGATGCAGGGTGTGTGGTCCTGCCTCACACACGCCTCACAGCAACTGGCCCAGGAGCAGGTGATCCCAGCCCGATCCATTCAAACCCAACCAGGAGGTTTCTTCCATCCTGAAGCCAAGAATCTATCCCTTGAACTGAAATTGGCAGAATGTGAAAAAATGACTTCAGAACTGCTAGCAAACACATCCTTGCCCCGGAGGAGCCTAAAATGAGGTCTACCCACAGATGGACACCACAGTGACAGGTGGCAAAACAGAGAGTTACTCCTAATGCCATCTTGGGGTCTCTGAATAATTTTGAAGACAGCTTTAGTCCTCCCTCCTTGTGCAAGCTAACGAACCTTGCCTCTCCCCATTGTCTGACCTAGCCTCGGTCAACTTAGGTTTCGGCCTCTGACAATTGAGAAGAAACCTTCATGGAACATTTTATAGACTTCCCCGGAACCAGTTCCTGCTGCATTATTAGAGTCTGTGTAACCAGAAAAGATAAACAGAAACAACATTTCAGGCTAGGCAGAGAGAAAACTTGGAGGTCAGCTCATCCGGGTTCAAGACATTTTCTATTTTTTAAAAGCTCCCATCAGAGTACCTTCAAATCCTCTTCGCAAAGCCATGAGTGCTAGAATTTGACACCCTTGCTGGTTTCCATGACAACCCTTGGCAGCTATGATAATACCAAAACAAAACCTAGAGGGCTTGGTGCTTTTACCTTTATTTTGTGGTCAGATCATCACCAATTTTATTATTTTTTAAGATTTTATTTATTTATTCATGCGAGACACAGATAGAGGCAGAGACACAGGCAGAGGGAGAAGCAGGCCCAATCCCAGGGTCACGACCTGAGCCAAAGGCAGACACTCAACCACTGAGCCACCCAGGCATCCCAGATTATCACCAATTTTACCAGAAAATGTTCAGTCCCCTTTATTCCCAGGTGTCTTACGTCTTCAGTTTTGTCCAGGAATGTGAATGGGTTAACAAGAGGACTCCTCTTACCATCCTGGGGTTGTGTTCTCCTTCCAGATGCACATCCTCCGACTCTGGCGAGATTACTCTGTGACCTAGTTCCAGTTACACAAGTTGCACTAGAAGGATTCTTGGGCACAGTTGCTCAAAATAGCTCTGTGCATCTGTGTAGTAAATAAGCTCCGTGGCAAGCTCACCTTATTTTTTTCCCAAAGAAGAGATTCCAATGGCCAGCATCTGGGTCAGAGGCTGTTGGTCTCAGGGTTGGGACAGAGGACACAGAGCTTCTATCTCTCAGGAACACCCAGCTCAGCTCTCCGATCCTCATGGGGCCCTCCTACCTTCTGTTTGCCTTCCCAGTGCTCCCCTGGGAAGCACTCCCCAACCTCCCGGGACGGTTGTATCTGCTGATGATGTCATTGCATGAGGCACCAGGTGCTTGGATTCTCACATCTTGTCCCCCTTCCAGCCTCAGCTGGAAGAGCTCCAAGTATCTGTACTTCTCTGCAGCACATTACAGCTTGTGACTGTGATTGGATCACCTGAGGGCCGAGAGACGGGTTTATACCCAGCCTATTCACTGCTGGAATGGTTTCAACCTAAATTTGATAGATACACCTCTTGATGGAGGGAAGAGAGCCACCTTTTACTTGTGCTGGATGCTGTGTGAGGTGCTCACAGGCTGGGAGGCTGTACAGCAGGGTAGCCATGGGCAAGAGCTCCATCATCAAAAAGACCTGGACTTACACCCTAGCTAGTGCATAGGCCTCATTTGTTCCTTACCCGTCCTCTGCCACCGGCCTCTTATCTATAAGTGGGACTAATGATAAATCACCCCATAAGGTTGTTATTAATAATATAATAGTAATATAATATTATAATAGTATACTTATCAATTATTAATAATATTAATATTAATATTAATCATATAAGCTGATGCATACAAAGCATACTGTCCGGTACTCAGTAGACATTCAATAAAGGTTAGTTAGTAGTAGGAGTAGTAGTAGAATTTCTCTGTGATCCTGGGAGCATCTCATGTGACATCATCATAGAGAAAGTTTAAGTCCTTAAAAGGAAAAGTTCCAGAATTTATAAGCCTGAATATACTGGCTTCTGGAACATTGACTGATGTTGGAAGGGCCAACATCTGAGTATCCTGGCATTGGCACTTGGCACAGAGATCTGTTTATTCATTGTTTACTGTGTGCCCGGTGCTAGGCAACCTGCTCCATGACCTTATGAAGCTCAAAATTTTGTTGTGGAGACAAGGCCAGCAAACATAACATCTGTGAGCAATATATGGCTAAACTGTCTTTCTGGCAGAAGTGCAGATCTGTGAACACCCAGCCTGCCCTGGGCCCTGGATTAAAAGCATCACCTTAGGGAAGCCCAGGTGGCTCAGCAGTTTGGCACCGCCTGCAGCCCAGGGTGTGGTCCTGGCGACCCGGGGTCGAGTCCCACGATGGCCTCCCTGCATGGAGCCTGCTTCTCCCTCTGCCTGTGTCTCTGCCTCTCTCTCTCTCTATCATGAATAAATAAATTAAATAATTAAATAAGTAGTTGGCTGAGCTGGGATTTGACTGTGGGTCTGGGTGCCTGGTCGCAGGTGCTCCCTTCACACCTGACAGCCTGCCCAGCACTTCCAGTGATGCCAGAGAAGGGCACAGAGAAGGGCACAGTGAGCAACGCCTCCCAAGGCTCTGGTTGCTGCTGCCCTCACTCAGTGCGGTGAGGCGCCGACTGGGCCTCCTGAGGATTTGACACCGAGGCCCAGGGCAGCTCATTCCAGGCCACTGTCCTCGCTTCAATTGCACCCTATGCCTTGGAGAAGCCCACAAGCACCCTCTATTTCCAGTGCTCATAAAACCTACTCATCGGGGATCCCTGGGTGGCTCAGCGGTTCACCGCCTGCCTTTGGCCCAGGGTGTGATCCTGGAGTCCCGGGATCGAGTCCCATGTCAGGTTCCCTGCATGGAGCCTGCTTCTCCCTCTGCCTGTATCTCTGCCTCTCTGTCTCTCTCTCTCTCTCTCATAAATAAATTTAAAAAAAAAAAAAAGCCTACTCATCCCTGGGGGCGCATTGGGCATCCCACTCGATCTCGGTTCAGATCTTGATCTCGGGGTTGTGAGATCGAGCCCCGCATCGGGCTCCCTGCGTGGAGCCTGCTTCTCCCTCTGCCTCTCTCTTTCATGAATAAATAAATAAAATCTAGAAAGAAAGAAAGGAAGGAAGGAAGGAAGGAAGGAAGGAAGGAAGGAAGGAAGGAAGGAAGGAAGGAAGGAAAGTGTGTGTAAACAGTCAGTGCTCGAAGAGATGGAAAATCAATCAAAACTCTAGCCAGTGGGGCTGGGCGGGTGCTTTCAAGAGGTGGGGGGGCCTGGGCTCCGGCGTTGGTGCTCGGCGCGCCACCTGCTGGGCTGCAAGAGGAACTGCGGCAGGTTGGGCTGCCGGGCGCCGCCGGAGCCACCGCGGAGGGAGGAGGCGCGGGTCGGGCCCCGCCCAGCGAGCAGGGCCCGCTGTTTTGCAAACCTCTCCTGGGGTCCCAGCGCCTTGTCTGTTTTCGCCATCTTCTTTATGCAGGTGCCCAGCCTCCCAGGAGGAAGATAACGCTGAGGAGTGAACAGAAAGGATTTTCCTGCGCCCACTCGGAATGCAGAGAAGAATCCTGTGGAAAATCCAAATGGCATCCACGGACCAAGAAATTATTCGAGAAACAGATGACGTGCTCTGGACTCATGATCTCTAGCTGATGGTGTGAGGCTGAAACAAACCCTGACGGCTGTCACCCACGATGAGTAAAGGTGGATCCCAGCGCCTCTGCAGCGAAGGCGCGCTCCTCGAGCACCTGCTCGCTCCCCTCCCCCACCGCCTTCAGGAATGAGAGAGGAGGCAGCAGGCCCAGGGCGCGAGCTGGGAGCTGGCCCTGGAACCGCAGGTGAGGACCTGGCCAAGCAAACACCACGCCTCTTGCCAAGAACCCTGAGGAGCACAGAGGTGACCCAGAGAAGGCCCTTTCTAACCCAGCCTCCAGCTCAGCCTCTCTATTAAATTCTTCACTGCGGTCACCGCGTTCTTCAATTCTAGGATTGCTGCTTGTGTGTGTCTTTTTAATGGTTTCTAGTTCTTTGCTGAGTTTCTCGTTTTGTGCATGCGTTGTTTTCCTAAGTTTGCTTGGGTGTCTGCATGTTCGTGCAGTCTGCCCGCTGACCTTCTGTAAGAGAATTATTCTTCATTATTTGTCAGACAGTTCATAGATCTCCATTTCTTCTTTTTTTTTTTCTTTAAGATTTTATTTATTTGAGAGGGAGTGCATGCTTTTGAGAGATAGGGGCCGTAGAATGTCTTTCAAGGCTGCCAGGCAACTGTGGCCATGTTTTCCAGAGGGGCAAGACTGGAGGCTATGCCGAGCAGTTGGGTGCGTTGGTGAATTTGCTTTCCTGCCCAGGCAGGATGTAGGATGTGCTCCACATCGGGTTCAGCCCAGTTGAGTGGGGATCAAAATCAGACAGAACTCCAAGTCAGTCAGGGTCCCTGGCCAGAAGGGGCCACCAGCTTAGCTCTGCAGATGGGCAGAGCTGCTGCCTGGTGTCTGGTCGGGACACTGGTGCCAGCAGGTATGTGGTCCTCCAAAATCTAAGCACTGGTTGCTGTAACCCCTGCCTCCTTGTCCATATCTCTCTCTGATCCCCACTGGTGGAGCCCCATGGGTTCCCCTGGTGATCTCCATGAGGCCGTACCCAGTGGGCTTCCCCAGAAGCATCCCAGAACATTGGAGAGCTGGATGTCCGCTTTAAGTTCTCTTTTACCCACTGGGAAAATGGTGGGCCCAGGGTGCCCCCTTGGAGCTCTGCTGTGTTGGCCAGGGGAAGGAAGGATGTGATCAAAATGGAACCATTCCTCTTGGGCTTCCAACATGATTGGGTGAAGTCTCAGACTGTGCTCACTCTGACAAGTGGGGCTTCTTCACTGTGTTCCAGGGGCTGTTTCAGCCTCCCCTACCCACCCTCCCACCCCGTGTTCTGGGATTTTTAGTGATAATGTCTTGTCCATGTTTAGTTGCTAGTTGATTTTCTTGTGAGGGAGACTAAGGTCATGAACAACCTATGTCTCCATCTTGATGCTAACCTTCTTCCTCGTTTACTTTTACTCTTACTTAATTCATATAGACAATCTAATTTGGACAATTTGGGTCTCAAGATAGCTAGCAGATGTGTCAGCCAAGGAAAATGGTAGTCATGCCCCACTATTACTGTTCCTCTACTCCTGGCAAGGTGCTCAGAACTCATTCCTACCCACTGGTGACCAAAGACACACTCAAGGGCTGGATGATGGTGCAAATACTTCTCTACTCTTCTTCTTAGGTGACCTTCCACTCTTCAGGTGCTCAGACCACCTGAAGCACCTGCCTCCTCTTCTGCTCCCTCTCCCCATCCTGCCTCACTTCCCATGGCCTCCTTCATTCCAGCCATTCTGGAGAACACCTCCCTACTTGCCCCCAGCCATGATACTTCAGAGATGAGCACCAAGACGACAAACCTCCTTCATATTAATGTTTATTGTTAGATATTGGTAAGTGTTTTGATGACGTGTGCTGATGCCAGGAGACCCACCCCACTAGAGTGAGGCCAAGGCAGGTCACCTGTGCCCCTCCTGCCACATGTGCATGAAATGACATTAGCAGGTATAAGAGCAATGCTTGTAGCATGTTCCTCCATTCCGTCATCAGGGTTCCTTCCGTGGCAGCAGGCTTTAAAACATGACAAAGACTAATGAGACTCACATTTGGTAAGTATCTCTGCCAGCCTAAAAATGTTCGTTTTTATGTGTGCAAGGATAGTCTCAGAAAGAGAGTGAAACACAGATTGGGATTGTCTCCCAAGTGACTCCCAGAAGATTAAAACATGGCTTCGGCTAAGGGCACTGGGGTGCAAGAGCTGCTATTTATAGCTAAAACGGTGGAAAGGGTTACTCTGAGAATGCCCAGGGAAGTTTTTAGGGGAGCACAAAAGCCAATCAAAACAAGCGGCCTCTGGGTGAAAAGAGCACAGGGGCGCACCTGGTGGCCCCTGCACATCCTGTGCCTGGTCAAAGTCTAGGGCAAGGGATCTTGATCTTGATCCCTCTTCTCACAGAAGGTGAGAAAGAAATGCCTTGGAAAGAAAACACAGAGTGCCAAAGTATCACTTGGTTTGATGTTATAGCATCTTTCTGATTACGGAACACTTATTAATTGAAATATTCCAGTTTACAATAATTGTATGGGGGCTTTTTCTTCCCAGAATTTAGGGAAAATCTTATACAAAACAACATCATTGAGTTCAGAGAAAATATAAAATGTAGACAAAATTAATAAGAACTATGCTGGAAGGGAAGTTTATACCTGTGCATGTGTTTGAATGCCAGTGGAGGAGGGGGAGAGCCCAAAGATACAAGGAATAATACAAAGCAAGACCTAAAAATCAGCAAAACCCACCATCTCCTGGAATGTTCACAACTGTTAGGCAGTCTACATGTATGTTCATGGAACAAAGGCCTGGGTCCGGATGAGACCAAACCTGGATCCTCATATGTCTGCTGACATTCCTGGAAAGCAGAGATGAGGGCACCTGGGGGATTCGGTGAGTGAAGCATCTACATTTGGCTTAGGTCATTATCTCAGGGTCCTAGGATTGAGACTCCACCCCCACCCCCGCCCCGTGTCAGGCTCCCTGCTCAGCCGGGGGTCTGCTTCTCCCTCTCCCTCTGCTGCTCCCCTCACTTGTGTGAGCTCTCTCTCATGCTTGTGCTGTCTCTCTCAAATAAATAAAATCCTTTTAAAAATTTTTTAAATCTTAAAAAGTAAAAAGAAAGCAGAGATGAGAAACATCATCAAGCCACCAAACACAGCCCCCCCCATGACTCTGCGTCAAATATTTGGAGGTGTCTCCTTCATGTATGGGCAGCAGATGGCAGCACCAAAAAGAGCATGTCCGACAGCTACATGTGGGTGTGCAATTAGCTGGAGTCAATGCACAGCTAAGTGAGCATATGTTAGTCAATGTAACACGTTAACCTTCCTTCCTCATCTTGAGGATATTTTAATTTTTATGACATATTTATCCAGATTAGAAGAAATAACCATTATAGTTGAAATACAAAGATGTTTTAACTCTTGATGTTGATATGTATCCCAGATTATTTTGAAGCCATCCCAGGCATCATATCATTTTTTTCTGTAAAAAATTCACTATATATAAAAAAGATAAGATATATATATATATATACATCTATATATCTCTAAAAGATAAGAATTTTTAAAAAACTAGCAATAATACCATGATTACATTTAAGAAAAATAACATTAGGGGAATCCCTGGGTGGCTCAGCGGTTTGGTGCCTGCCTTTGGCCCAGGGTGCAATCCTGGAGTCCCGGGATCGAATCCCGCGTCGGGCTCCCTGCATGGAGCCTGCTTCTCCCTCTGCCTGTGTCTCTGCCTCTCTCTCTCTCTCTCTGTCTATCATAAGTGAATAAATAAATCTTAAAAAAAATTTAAAAAAAGGGAAAACAATGTTTGCATCTTAAAAAAATAACATTAACACTTTAATATCATCAAATATTCAGTGTTCAAATTTCCCCCACTCAGCTCATCAACTTGTTCAGATGTCACATTTGTCACAATTTTTATTTTATTTTACTTTTTCAAGTAGGCTCTACGTCCAATGTGGGGCTCCTACCCATGACTCTGAGATCAGGAGCCCCACACTCCACAGACTGAACTAGCCAGGTGCCCCTACGAATTTTAAAATATACCTATTTATTTCAACAAATGCTGATAGGATCACTGGATATGTGCATGGGGGGAAAAGTGAATCTTGGCACCCTAATAAAATGTTAAGATGGATCATGGATGAAAATGTGTCAGGTAAAACAATAACGTCTTAGAATAATGTACAGATTTAGAGTTCATAAAGGTTTCTTTCTCTCTTTCTTCTTTTATTTATTTATTTTTTTAGAGAGAGAGAATGGGGTGGAGGGGCAGAAGGAGAGGGAGAGAGAACCCCAAGCAGGCTCCAGACCCAGAGAAGAGCCCAATATGGGGCTCAATCCCACGACTCTGAGATCATGACGTGAGCTGAAATTGAGTTGGACACATAACTAACTGAGCCACCCAGGCGCCCCCAGAATGCGAAGATTTCTTAAACAGAAAACAAAAGGCACTAGCCTTAAAAGAAGAAAAGTGACAAATTGAGCTTCATTAGAATGAAGCCATTCTGTTCCATAAAAGATACTATTGGAACAGTGAAAATGCAAGGCACAGACCAGGAGAGACTCCTATCGAGACTGTACTGATGCCCACCATACAACCACTGCTGTTGCTTATCCAGCAAAGGTCATCAGTGGATGTGAAGTCAGTGAGCCAGACACTCATGTGGTTTCCCAGTCTCTCTCCACAGATCACTTAACTGGGACAAAGGGGAAAGGAGCCTTTTAATGTGTGGGAAGTATGTCAGGTTCCACCTTAATCAAGTGATCAAATTTAACATCACCAAGAAGAAACAACCATGGGAGGACAGGGAATTCTTAATAGGTATCTTATAAAAGAGAACATGTAAATGATCAACAAATATGTGAAAAGCCAATCTGTATCATTAGTTACAAGTAAATACAAGTAAATTAAAAACAGGATGAGGTACCACTACATACCAACAGTAATGGCTTAAACATGAAAAAGACTGACAATACCAAGTGTTGGTGAGGATTCAACTAGAGCTCTCTCCGAAGCCACTGTCTACGGTGTAACTAAAATAGCCACTGTTGAAAACTGCTTAGCAATATCCACAATGGCCAGAGTCCAGTCTTTTTTTTTTTAAGATTTTATTTATTCATGAGAGACACAGAGAGAGAGGCAGAGACATAGGCAGAGGAGAAGCAGGCTCCCTGTGGGGAGCCCAATGTGGGACTCTATCCCAGGACCCCAGGATCACGCCCCAAGCTGAAGGCAGACACTCAACCACTGAGCCACCCAGGTGTCCTGAGTCCAATCTTTCAATACAGCAATTTCATTGATAGATACATATCCCAAGACATGAGTCTACACGAGCAGTAAGAAATATGTACCAGAAAGGTTAGAGCAACTTTATTCCTTTTTTTTTTAGAGCAGCTTTATTCCTAATAGTAAAACTAGAAATGACCTAAAGGTCTATCAGCAGAAGAATAAAAACTAAGATTTGGGTTGATGTATGCAATATACTATTACACAGCAATAAAAATAAGAAATAATACATTCCTGGTACATGCTGCAGCATGGAAGAGTCTTACAGATATTCTGTGAAAGAAACCAGGTACAGAAGAGTAAATACTGAATGGCTTCACTTATATGAAGTTTGAGAAGTCAGAAGAGAGGGTCCCCCTGGAAAGGGTTGTACTGAATGAAAAGGATCTCAGGGAACCCTCTGGGGGCTGGAAACATCTGAGAGCTTGATCTGAGTGATCTGAGTGGTAGTTACTGGATGCATATATGTGTTAAAATTCAACATCTGTATATTTAAGGTTAGTGGAAGTTGACTTTACTATGTTTATTTTATACCTCGATAGAGAAGAAAAAGCATGCATAAGCTAACTCAAAGGGAATCCTACTGTTCAAAAAATGGGACAGTTTGAACATAAAAACAATTTTGACTATGATGTGTTGAAGCATATTAAATAAAAATCCATGAATTTATAGGAATTCTAAAAATGTTCATTGGTCACTGTTATTATTCTGAAAATAATTTTTAAAGATTTTATTTATTTATTCATGAGAAACACACAGAGTGGCAGAGACACAGGCGGAGAGAGAAGCAGGCTCCATGCAGGGAGCCCAGTGTGGGACTTGATCCCAGGACCCTGGGATCACGCCCTGAGCTGAAGGCAGATGCTCAACCATTGAGCCACCCAGCTGCCTCTATTCGGAAAAATTAATGAAGGGAAGGAATCAAGCATTTCTTTCATTTTTTAAAAAAGATTTTATTTATTTATGAGAGAGAGAGAGAGAGGAGAGGGACAAGCAGATCCCAATATGGGGCTCAATCCCAGGGCCCTTATATAAGGACCTGAGCTAAAACCAAGAGTTAGACACATAACTGACTGAGCCACCCAGGTGCCCTTCTTTTTTTTTTTTTTTTTTTTTTTTTGACCAACAATATTCCAGGGTAATCATAGTTGATAAGGCATTTTCTTCTCTATACAACAATTACAGCATAATATTGCAGAAGGAACAACAGAATTTGAACTTTATGGCTTTAAAACACTAGTGAAATAAGAATTATCAATGCCTGCCAGTCAGGTGAATGGTGGATGTGGCGTTTTGTAGTGGAGAAATCAAGTTGACCCCACCTCAACCCAACGACTGAACTGATCACTACAAGTGGGAGAGTCTAATGCTCTGTGCCTCATGATATGATATAATACGGAGCACACAGTGCCAACCACAAAGCATTCTCCTCCAAAGAATTGCCCTGAATGTAATCAAGCGTCTTGGTCTACCTATTCATGTACAGGAAATTGGGGGAATAAAGGAAAATGTTAAATGACATATTGAAGTGCAATC